TCTTAAAAATAAACGTAAGCAAAAAAACCCCAAATCTTCCCAAGTCAGATGAGAGCTGCATTTCACAGCCACTGGTAAGCAGAAAGATACTAACCCAATTATAAACCAAGCACATCTCTGGCCTCCACACCTTCAGCTGTGCCATGGTACAGACTTGTTTAAAATTTGTCTAGCAAGCTACATGTGCAGGTGGCTGCTGTTACTCATCATGAAACTCTGCCACAGGCCTGGAAGCCACTGTCTCTGGCCAGCTGAGCCTTTGCCCTGCATCCCAGCACCAAGGACATTTCTTCTGAGAAGATGCAGGCTTCCCACAAGGGTCTGCAGACAGCTTTCAATTTGCCTTTGTGCTACCACAAGAACTCGTGTTCTGTTCACTACTTGCTTATGTTGCAGTCCCTTCAAGTGTGATCAGAGCCCCACTGAATTAGGCACCAACTGAATAAATAAAGAAGTTCTGATTTCAGATGGGTAATGGTCTAACATGTAACAGTATTACAAGACATGTTTTCACAGAGAGCTAAGAGACTTGATCAAGGTCACTGGGGAATTCCGTGGCAAAGCTTTGAAAAGAACCCAAATCTGAGACCCAAACCAGCCTTGTGTCACAACTACCATGCCTCTTTCAAGTTAAAAAACTGTTCCTTCAGTTTATAAATCTCTATACACAAGGGAAAACCACATTTTTTAACATGGAGGTTAACTTTCCTTTGGTTGTAAGTATCTTAATGTTGCATACCTGGAAAGGGTTGAAGTCAAGAGCTCGAACAGGACCTGAATGCTTCTCTGTCTGCCCAATTACAGGCTCGCTCTTTGAAGCCAAGATGCGGTGCACACTGTACATTGTCAGTACACCATTATCGCCTCCACCAATGACCACTCCAGAGGACTCTGGAGACCCATTTCCGAAGTTACCCCAGATCAGCTTATGAAACCTAAAAAAGAATAAAGCTGGTGTAGGCCACAATATTTGGTGGAAGTCAAGACACCCTCTGCATTACCAAAAACCACATCCATGTTCACCTTAAATAACAATTTCCCTTTTAAGAGGACCGTGGCTCTTGCATGCAAAAGAAGAAATGAGCTTCCTTATAAAGACTTTTAAGGGAAACTTAAAACAAAGAGATTGTCTCTCTCTTCTGGTTTTTTTTTTTGGTGTGTGGTTTTTTTTTTGGTTTGGTTTGGTTGTTTAAAACATTTAGGACCTCATATGGGATTTGGTGGGTGAAATCCTCTAACGTACACTATAGAGAAAATTAGATTAGTGGACTATGTGCCTTCCTTTCCAGAGTTGTATCTGAAAAATATGTTTACCCCCTTTAAAATCTGCTAGTTAGAAATCAAAGCTGTGTTTTACACTGGGTGCAAATGTCACCCACACCAGTAAGCCTAAGAAATCACCTTGTCTTAAAGAGCTGGAAGGTAAGTTTCACTCTGCCTCTTGTTTCTTTATTGCAAGTCATTAGCCCCAGCAAATTCACATGATACAGAATGACTCTGCTGACTGACTACCATATAAGTCCTTTTGGATTTCTCCAATAGTCCAACAGCTCTACTTCTATACCCAACATGATTTGTGTCGACAAAAATGTTCAATTCTTGAACAAAGGTCAACTGATCCAAAAGATCACTTTATACCCCAAAACCATGATCTCCACCTCTCCTTTCTTGTACCAGAAAAGCCCTTTTCAGTTCCACTGATTGATACATCAGTATGAGCCTCTGGTACCTGTTTGAGGCTGGAAGTGTTCCTTTCTGCTTCATGTCCAGGGAGGGATCCCTGAAGTCAACCTCAAATATTTCCAAGGTGGCATTTGTACTGAAGGATGCATCCAGTTGCTGGGCAGATGTTCCTAGCAAAAGTACAAGGGCAACACAAGTGGGCACTTTTTTTATAGAAGCACAAGATAGAAAAAGAGCAAGGCACTGGAAACCTATTCTTCATAGTCAACACAACCTTGGTGTTGTGCCTGTTCAAAGAGAGGACATGTCTGAACACCTCAGAAAGAGGAACAAACAATTATGATTATGACAAAGACTTTGAAAGAAATTAGAACTTCTTCAAGAAATTCTGGGCACCAGGGTCACTGTTGTGCAAATAACTTTCTCTCTTGGGATAGATACAATTCATAGACCCTCTCCCAAGCATCCACAGCTTCTGATATTAAGTCCTCATCTAAATTACAAATGCAGTCACATCATGAAACCCAGCTACAATTATGATCCCAAATACTTCTGTATACTGCTCCCCAACCATGACCAGATGTCTTATTCAGACCTTCTAAACCTAGTCTACAGATGAAGTTCTTCAACCTTAGCCAGCTAAACATGCCCCAATGACCCACAGACAGCTAGCAGTCACACAGTGGTGGCTCCCTTCCTTCTCCCTAGCTTACAGAACAAAAGCTAAAAATTGATTTAACATTGCCTAATGGGACACTGCCAGGCAAATAGTCACCCAGTTACCACAGGGATGCTTTGTAACTGCCTATGGCATGGAAAGTGCCCAAGAGACTATTAAAAAGCAGTACAAATTATGAAACTATGCAGTTTCTGATCTAAAGCAGACTGAAGCCAAGACCTTTGGGCCAACCAAAACTCTGGCCTTATTAGAGAAACACAAAATAGACTATCTACCCCAAAAACAGTCATGTTGCTTTTAAGGCAACAGTTGAACTTTTGTCACTTTCTTTTGACAATCTTCCCTGAAAAGAAACCAAAACAATATGGCAGCGCTGCACAGGCCAGGCAGGAGACAGAGCTCACTAGTTCTCATGTTGAGTAGACAACTGCAGTGGGTTAACCCTGGCTGGACACCAGGTGTCCACCAAAGCTGTTCTATCACTCCCCTCCTCAGCTGGACAGGGGAGAGGAAAATATAAGGACAGGCTCGTGTGTTGAGATAAAGACAGAGAGATCCCTCAGCAATTACCATCACAGGCCAGACTCAGCTTGGGGAAATTAGTTTAATTTATTACCAATCAAAACCAGAGCAGAATAATGAGAAAATAAAAACTAAATCTTAAAACATCTTCACCCCACTCCTCCCATCTTCCTAGGCTTAACTTTACTCCCGAAATCCCTACCTCCTCCCCGTCCAGTCGTGCCGGGGGACGGGGAATGGGGGTTGTGGTCAGTTCATTGCACGCTGTCTCTGCCGTTCCTTCCTCCTCAGGGGGAGGATTCCTCACACTCTTCCCCTGCTCCAGCGTGGGGTCACTCCCATGGGAGACAGTCCTCCATGAACTTCTCCAACATGAGTCCTTCCCATGGGCTGCAGTCCTTCACTATCTGCTCCAGTGTGTGTCCCTTTCACGGGGTGCAGTCCTTCAGGAACAGACTGCTCCAGCGTGGGTCCCCCACAGGGTCACAAGTCCTGCCAGCAAACCTGCTCCAGTGTGGGCTCCTCTCTCTCTAGGGGTCTACAGGTCCTGCTCCAGCCTGCTCCAGCGTGGGCTTCCCACAGGGTCACAGCCTCCTTCAGGCATCCACCTGCTCTGGCATGGGGTCCTCCACAGGCTGCAGGTGGATATCTGCTCCACCATTTAACCCCCATGAGCTGCAGGGGGACAGCCTGCCTCACCATGGTCTTCACCACAGGCTGCAGGAGAATCTCTGCTCTGGCACCTGGAACACCTCCTCCTGCCCCTCATTCTTCACTGACCTTGGTGTCTGCAGAGTTGTTTCTCTCACATATTCTCAATCCTCTCTCCAACTGCAGTTGCACAGGTTTTCTTTCCTTCCCCTTTCTTAAATATGTTATCCCAGAGGCGCTACCACTGTCACTGATGGGCTCAGCCTTGCCCAGCAGCAGGTCCTTCTTGGAGCCGGCTGGCATTGGCTCTGTTGGACACAGGGGAAGCTTCTAGCAGCTTCTCACAGAAGTCAACCCTGTAGCCCCCCTTGCTACCAAAACCGTGTCATGCAAACCCAACACAACAACCCAAGCTGTCAGTTCCACACAGAGACTAAACTCACCTACTGCCAACTCAGTGAACAGGCTGACTTTGTACTTCAGGAAGTAAAATTACTATAACAATAGCGAATAATAAATAATATCAACAAAGTGCAAATTTAAGGTTTTGCAGAAGCATTGAAAATGGAATGTTAACCAAAACAGGCAACTTTAGGAAGAAGAAGTTTCTATTATTTGATTGTCAAGCCACGTGATAATAGCCAAAGACCAACAAAAATAAAAGTGAGCTTAAATAAACATGACTAGAATTAACTTATTTTTTCCCCCCAGACACAGCAAGTATGTAACCTTATTTTGTTTTATTTTTCATAGCAAGCAGGTGCTGGAATTCATACAGACTTAATCAGAAGTTAGATCAAAAAAGCCATGTATTCACCCTTTGAAAAAGTCAAAGTTGGGCACAAAAAAAATCCTCTACTAGTCACTTTAAAAAAAAAAATAAATGTAATGTTTTTGGTATATTGCTTGTAAGTTTTTCAGACATTATTAAGGTGGGTATTGTTCGAAGTTAAAACCAATACAACTCTACATAAAACCTCTCTGTGACTCATACTTTAATATCCACGAATTGTGAAGAACGTTACCTGTTGCTAGATAAATGGGGTGGTTGTTTGCTGGACTCCATGCCTGGACAGCTGTTCGCTCAATTTCCTTTAGCTTCATTTTCTAGGCTCTAGAAGAAATTTCACACAGTGGTTAGAATAGCCAGATAAAGTCAACATGAAAATAATCACATCAGTAGCCAAATATCCCCCTTACCAAGATACCATGAAAACAAATTGCTCTCAATAGAGAGAAGTTACTTGCTACTTCCTGAGGTAGCGAATACAGTTTTACTGGAATTAATTAGGGTATTTCAGAATTCATAAAAAAACCCCACAATCCCAGCTGTCTGACCCCAGATTTTCTTTCATATATAGCTCTCTTTTTCATATACCCCAATTACAGGAGAGTTTCAGAAAAAGGAAGGGGATATAAATTAAACAACATACTCAAGTCTTCAGTCCAGGCTGGTTTAAATCAGCTGCAGAAATTAATTTAAAAAAATGTATTTGCAAAGCACTAGTTGCTCTCTCTGAACAAGCTGATGTCAGTATATACATAGGGAAAAAGGGAGCAGAAGGAATCTCAGGGCAGACTAAATTCCAAGCAGAAAAGTGACGTGGCAACAGAAAACAAAGTGCAATGCTATCATGTGCCAATTCAGTTAATGTACTTTGTTCTTGCTCCTCTGAGAAGTGAAAGGAAAAAATCCTTTGAGTTTCTGCTTGAGTTTGTAAATGGTAGGAGAAGGTGAGAAGAAGCGATCCAGAAGTAACTGCCGGGTTTCAATCTCAATTTCTCTGACAACAATTCTTTTTACTTATTCTGGATAGATCAACTGACACCTGTAAAATGGGAACACAACTTCCCCATGTCACTGGGGAGAGATTAGTTGGGCAATAATGTAGCAGGATAATTGAAAGTCAAACATCAACAGCAGGCAGCCAGGAGGCTGAAAAACAGAATATAAATACAAATTATTGTTCCACATTGGATCCCATTCTGGCTGAGGAGAAAGCACCCAGCACCTCTCCATCCCAGACTATGCCCAGGCCTTCTAGGCATGTCAGCCACATAAATGATGTGTGACATATTATTCACAGGCTAGCGGGGTCACTCTCACAAGCAGTTCCTAAACCTTTCAAGCTTGGCTGCAGTGCAGTCTTTTAACTCTAGCTGAACAGAGTTGCTAACTATGCACTCAGATGATATCACGCTGAATAAAGTAAAACTGTCAGCAGGCAGCACAGCAAAACACTCTGCATCTTGCCAGCTTGCTGTGATTAACCTCTCCTGGTTACTTGACACTCTGTGTTAGTCGGGCCGCTGGTTAAACTACAGCCTGCATCACGTGGCCCTCTGTTCAGACACAAGGCTACAAGTGTCAGTGCTTTGGAGTCTGGCCTTACTCGGGCCAGCGTATGGGTGTTTATTCGCAACCAAGTTCATAAAGGTAGCTTGCTGTGGCCAGCCCACTGTCTGAACAAACCATCAAAAAGAAAACCCCACCCAGTGTTGAAGAAGCCTTCTGTCATCTGTGGCTTATATGAAGCTATGGCCTCCTGAGGCCCACACAAGGGAAAATCTGGTCAGCATTACTTCCTCAGCTTGGACCTCCTGGCTAATAATTCCACACCCTTTTTAGGGTTTCTTCTCCACCACCAATCAGAAGATAAGGACATCCTCTCTCCCCCCCATACACTATCAGGATATGCTGTTTGATTAGGATTTATTTAATGCTTTTTAGCATTAGTCTGCAGCAGTATCTCCCAAAGCTCAAACTGCCTATTGCTATTCTCACATTAACCTTATCCCAACTTAGCTGAGGCCCAGAGAAATCTGAACAGAACTCTTGTACAACAAAAGAAGTGCAACTATTTCCTCATGCAGCCTAGGAACAGAGGTGGAAAGATCATCTCCTCATCAGCATAACAGACCTCTAAAGCTTACTTTTCAATCTTCCAGCACATACATTGCGGGGTACTCGTTAGGGCTCCACCACATTCTCTCTGCCAAGAAGTTCCAGCACCTACTCATCTGTCTCCCTCTGTCTCTTCTTCTGACAGGAACACTGTCCAGGTCTCCTCCCTTCCTTGGCAGCAGGGAATGAAAATACCCCCCAGGAGTCGTCAGGTGAACCCACTAGCAACAGCCCACTGCACAAAGCACCACCTGACTCCACTGATGTGGGGGAGCAGGACAGCTGGTATGTTCCTTACCAGACCCCTTCTTGCCTCTTCCTCCTCCAGTTATAATCCATGAGTTGCAGGAGCTGGCTGTACATACAGGTCTTACTGCTTCTTGGCTTTAAGAGGACAACTCCCCTGTGAACATTATTAGACAATGGCCAAGAGACCTTTTCCCTCTAGTAAATTAACTGGTAAGAAAAAAATGAAGAGCACAACCATCACAAACTTAGCCAGGTGAATGGTACAAGCTCCCAATCCTTACCCTCTGTGCTGGACTGACTGCATGGTTGGCACAATTTGCATTTAACATGCAAACCAAGATAAGCCACAAAAACTGTACAGAACGGTATTGATCAATTGTCCAGCTCTCTGTGTCAACAGAGCATTTTGCCTAAGAAAGTCAACATTACTGTTCTCTTTTCACAAACTTAAGTCAGGACACAACGTGAAGGTAAAGCATCTTGCCCGTGCTAACTCACCTAGACATAGGAAAGCAAACAAGGCACCATTTAGAGTGGCTCAGCATCAATAGAACAACTGTCGAAGTGCTGGATCATAGGTATTGAACAGGTACACAGTACCCCTGGTCCTCAAGGCAAAGCAGCAGTAGTGCCAACAGACTTCAGAAGGCCCACAGGAGGTGCATTAGAAGCCAAAAGATCACAGTATCACACCATCTCTTAAGCACTTCCTATCAGTTCAGCTCCATTGCAGCCGAGGTTCTGCAGGGATGCAGCAGCACCTCCTCCTTAAGCCAGTGTGCTCTGAGTTTGGAAGGGGGAAAAAAAAAAAAAAAAAAAAAGCCTGATTTGAGCCTTACTCTTAGAGAAGTGGTTCTTCTATACACTGTCCATGTCTATATCCAGGACAGGACTAACGATCCTTAAAGCAGGAAAAAAGCCCTTCTTTAGCAACCTCTTGTGGCTGCCTGAGAAACAGTCACAAGTATTGAACTCTTCCACAGGAGAATTTTCAGGGAGAGGTTGCCACCTGCTGCCTTTTCCCAAAATAGCACCTAAGACTTCTGAGAAACCTCATGCTTTTCTCAGGACCTTTAATTAATTAATCATGGCAATTCCTCCTCCTCCTCCTCCTTCTACAGACAGCCAATTACAGATCTAATGTAGTAACGAATCTCAGCCCCAAAGGGAGTCACAGGACAGAAGCAGCATTTCCCCGCAGCCATAGTTTCCTGCACAGTGTCCTTAAAAGGTAACAGTGTCTGCAAAGCAAACCCAACACGTCAGAGCACTCCCCGCCACTGGGAAATGGAGACCAGACAGCTAAACAGTGAAAAGTAAAAGCACATGTTCTCAAATCACAACAGACTATGCAAACAATGCTGACAGAAGCAAAAATTCCTCACCTCTCTTAATTTGAAATGGTTGTGGCTTTAGAGTACATTGTAAAAGACCATGGTTGTTGTATCAGCTAATTAATCCTCAAAGCTGCCATGATAATCATCCCTGGTATCACTCTAGCGAGGCCTTCTCTCTCTTGGAACACCGAAATACTGTCAATCAGAAATCCCCTCCTACTGACTTTCCCAACCCTCCTCCTGCCACTGGGCACCCAACCATTCCTCTTTGAACGGTTCCTGCT